TAACAGTCATTCCTCCTTCCCCTAAAGGAGCACATATTAAAAAAAAAAAAGTCCTTTCCTGTCTGGTTTTTAAACATGCTACAGTAAGGGAAGTATCCAAAAATGGAAAAAAAAAAATTCAAAAGTAATAATTAAAATTTAAGAGTTTAAGAGCCTAAATATGTCTTTATTCTAGCTGAGGACATGATGTAGAGAAATTGCCTTAGGAATTACTGAGAAAAGAATCAAGCCCATGTTACTGATTATAGTAAAAAATTGACCTTTTCTGAATGGAAAAAAAAAAGGTAAACAATACTTTTTGCTGATTATTTGTCAATAATCAGGTTAAGATCAAAGACATCCTGGGAGAAGGCTACACCAATTGAGCCTGTGTTCTGGCAGGGTGCCCTAAAACTCATCAACCAGCACTGCATAGAGAAATTGAGGTGCCTGAATTGCCCCTGGATTGCTCTTACCCAGGGCCAGGCATATAGAACCCTAAAACTGAAATCCTGCAGGTACTTACTGGAGGGGATTCTTGGGATTTTTGTCATGAAAAGTTGGGCAATCTGCAGTGAGATTGATGCATGTAAATAGATGGAAACATGTAAATATTGATGTAATCCATGAAGAATGTAAATATTGATGTAATGCATTAAGAATGTAAATCAGAGCAGGTTTTGTAGGCTAAGTAACTTTAAAACATTTTATTCTCAGCTGGGCAATATAAAGCAGAAGGAGGCTGCAAGTTTTGATTGGGTTACTGCAGAAAATCTGGGAGCTGGTTTGATTGAATTATCAAAACCAAACAGAAAGCTTTAAAAATGACCTGCCCAACAAATTTGCCTTGAAATTTGTGTTTTCCTCTCACAGCTTGGCATTTAGGGCAAATGAACTCAGCACCATACAACATTTTACATAGTTTCAAATAGATAAACACAGGTACTGGTCTGCCAGCATGTTTCCATCCTGTGACTATGTAAAAATGATATTTTATGGAAACATTTCAATAACAGAGCTTGTTCCTGTTTTCAGATGTGGCTGTTTGCTGCTGATGTGTTTAAAAGATGGAGATGGTGAATGAAAATGATGTTTGTACTCATGACCTCTGTGCAAGACGTGCCACCAGGAGTAAAATCATCTTTGTTCAGAGTCTTGCACAAAGTCACTGTATTATTTGAATCCCAGGTTTTCCATCAAAGCATAACTTAGAAGGGATTTGAGGGATTCACAGGCTTCTCCTGGCCCTCAGTCCAGCATTTTGAGGACAAAGCAGTCAATTGGAACTTAAACCAGTAGCTTTGCTGTATTATTACTCGTTTTATAATTTAAGGGGAGTGTTTCTCATCCTCTCCCAATTTTTGTTTTTGGAATGAATTACTATAATTGACAAAAGGCAGGAAATACCTGGTAGTTGGTATTTTTTTTATCCAGTGTGTTATCCCAAGGCAGGTTTTCTACAGCATGTTATTGATTGCTGTGTCTGTTCAGGGTTTGAAATGGTTCAGACCACGAGACTTTTATCATTCTTCTGGGGCTACTATTTCATCTGGCAGATTTCACTGACAGGAAGTTTTCCCTGATAATCCTGGTAGCTCTCCTCTCTGGCTCTGTGATAAGTGACTCCATTATTCTTGGAAATAGGTGGGTGATCAGAGGACGTTTTCAGAAGATTCCCTTCCAAATTGGAAGACAAAGAGAATTTTAAGCAATATAGAGAATAGAGAACAGGGGAGAGAAAAATTTAGCAAGCTGGATAGACGTGCTGATAGAAATATGTTTCTGAAGTCTGCAACATGCTTGTCAGTGACACACAATTATGATGGATGCTCCTCTTGAGAGACTCAGATTTACTTTTCTAGATACCTAAGCCAGCTTGTTATTTCATTGTTAAGGTCCTGACAGTGGAATTTCTACAAAGCAAGACTGAAAAATTGTCTGCAGAGTGAATATGTGAATCCTGCCATCATTTCAGCCCCCTCCTTCTGCTAGTTTTTGTGGTGTTTGTATCCCTTAGTTGGGACTTTTGTCACACGTTGCAAAAGCCAGTGTTGTACATCTGGGTCTTGGCAGGTTGAGAACTGTGACTGTGAATAATGAGGCAATTATCTCTTGGTTGGAGGGCAGGCAGAGTGATCCTCTTGCTGGCTTGAATGTGATCCTTCCTCCTTCCCCTTGCCTTTTAAAAGTAAGGACAGAAGTTGAAATTCAGAACCCTGTGAAAGGAATACAGCTGTGACATTGCTCTGCAGATTGTAGTTTCTTCAATTTGAGAACAATTTGTGTGTTGTTTTTAATAATGTTTGTTAAGATCATGACTCTTACTGCATGAAGAGTCAGTTTTGTGATGCATGCCTTGAGAAACTCTAGGTCTCAGTAGTTAATTTGGCCACATGCAGGTGGATCTTTTACTGCCCCTGAGGCTAGGGAAGACAAAGTTTGATTCACCTCCCTGCTTGCAATTGATGTGACATATTGTCAAGGGTTAGGGCTGGGGCAGCCACTGCACAAGTGACTTTTACTGCCCCTGAGGGACTGTGCTTGAGGCTAGGAAGACAAAGTTTGATTCACCTCCCTGCCTGCAATTGATGTGACATATTGTCAAGGGTTAGGGCTGGGGCAGCCACTGCACAAGTGACAGATGCTGTTAACCCCCCTCCATTCCCAAGGGGCTGGAGAAAGGGAATAAGGGAGAGAGATTTCTAACTCAAAGCAGGCTGCAGCCTCGTTAGGTGTGGTGCTCACAGAGCTGAGGTTCTGTCTGCAGCCTGCATTTCACCACAGCTTGGGGTGGCTTGGGCTCTTTTCCTACTGAATTTCTCCTCACAGTCCTGCATCTAGTATCACGTTGCAGTTGGGAAGGTTTCATCAAATGTAATCTTTAATATTCTATAACCCAATAACTCTGCTATGGCCTTAAACAGAAGTTTCTGGCAGCAGTTTATGACTGATCTCTTAGGAGAAGGGATAGTGCTTCTAGCTGTAGGCTGAGGTTGGTAAATGGCACATAAAGGCTGTGAATACACTTGATTTCTTGTTAGCTCAGCTAATCTGTGGAGCTTTTTAACTGTGACAATAGCTCAACTGTCCAGAAAATAGCTAACCTAATAAAATGTTTGTCAGCTCGTATGTACCATCTAATTACAACTGCCCAACTATGTGTCATAAGGTCTTTTGATGCTCAAAGTGATGCTATTTTACTTGGAGAAATCAGAAGCTCTATTTTGGAGAAGGATGATCTGATTTATATCCCAGAAGTATAACCACAGTGGTGCCCAAGTTAGTCCTGGGCTTGTGCAGGAATAAAATGTTTGTTCAGAGCTTATGGGCTGTATGAAATGTGCTGCTGATCATTCCAGTTGATGGTGCCTTTTGTCTCACTGGTGATCTGGCTGAGGAAAGGGTGCAGCTTCCAGAAGCTTCTTCTCACTTCTCATCCATGAAGGCTCCTGATGTGCACAGGGAGGACACTGGGTCCTCAGTCCCTGTTGTTCCTCTATAGGTCTGCAATTTTGGCTGCCTAATTTGCTAACCAAATTTAGCAAATGAGTTTTTTTAGTGTAAAACAAGAAGCCCATCCTATTTTACCACTACAATAAGAAAAGGATTGAAAGTTGTTGAGCTAGTTCTTCCTCTAGAGTGACAGTAAAAATGTCTTCAAATAGAGGGTGATGATTTTACCTGTCAAGAATTGAAAAGAGGGTTTCTTGTGTAACACTGCTTCATTTCCATGGCTTGAAAAAGAGATTATGTAGGAAGAAGAGATGGCCCAGATGTACTGCTGCTTCCAAATATTGCTTTAGGAAGGTCCTTGTTCAAAAAGCAGGGAGAAGCCAGATGTCATATCAAGAGAGCTGGGATTTAGGAATTATTCAGAGGATCTGTCAGTGGTCTGAGTGTTAAAAATCTGTGTGCTAGGTTGCTCTAGTGTGGTGCAATTCCCTTTCTATGAACTTGTGAGCTCCAGGTTGTGCCCAGGCTGCCAGCCCTTTCTGCATGGCCTGGCACAGTAACTGCAGCACAGAGCTGTCCCTGGGGATGAATAACTCCTTGGTGGATGGTTCAACATAGTAACCCCAAGGGCATCATTAAAACTCTCCACAAGAATTACTCTAAAGCCTGTAATATATAATTATGTGTTAGAAATGCACTGCAGTGTTGCCTATTGTTATAAAGTAGATTTTTCAAACTAAAGCCAAGAAGCTCTGTTAAATGAGCATTTATTTTTCATTAAGAGCATGTGGTGTGAAGTTCATTTGAATTGATTGTCCTGTAGCTGCTGCTCCAGTTGTGATAATGGGACTTTTGAAATTAAAAGTCCTGCCTTTTTTATTTTGGCCATGATTAATATAATTTTTACCATGTTAGAGGAAAAAAACCTATTCAGCATGGATTCAGAAATCCATCCTTCCATGCACATACTTGTCCTGATGTGTAATTAGCTCCTAGATCTGTGTTGTTGAGATTCCATTTGATTATCACCTTGCTGTGTCCTAGTTTTGGCTGCTCCATATCCCATGGACCTGACTGGTAGGACACTCAGAAGCACTAATAGTTTTAATTTGCTCTTATTGTTCAAGGAGTTGTTTTGGTCTATTGTATAAGCTTTTGGGACAAGGAATTCTTCAGTATTGAGGAATAGGTGACACTCTGTTCACTTGAAGTTCAAACTGCATGTTTGGTTTTGGGATAAAGATTGTAAAATATGTGTATATGATGGGCATGAGAGGAAAACTGAGTGTGTAAACCAAGTCAATATTAGATGTAATTAAATGTCCATTTTTCTTTTCCTGGGTAGTGCCTCCTGTTATCTGATCTGGTGTGATTCTCCTTGCAGAGGACAGGGGGAAGACAGCTCAAGGAAGTAACCTGGACTCCTTAAGGAAACCATTTTCTACTATTTCTGACTTACCAAACAGAAATCAGCAGGATGGCTCATCTGGAGGAAGCAAAGAAATGTGGGTGTCTCTGTCCCCACAGACACCAAGTGAGGATAAGGTAATGAGTTAACATTTGTCCTTGTGGACAAGCACCTTATTCAAATAGATGAAAATATGGGGAGATACACTGTCCAAATGTTAGAAGCCAGTGGTATTTATCCCATCTGAGGCAAATATTTAAAATGCTACCTAAGTATGTAATTCTTGAGGAGGCACCTGCAGGGATCATGCTTGGCAGTGGCATTTGCTCTGCTGAAGAGCTGCCATAAGCTGACTAATAAATAAAGTGCCTTGCAAGGACCTTTGTCATGTTTTCATTGAAGGCTGCAGTCAGCAGCAGAAGTTGGCAAGAAGGAAAATATCATGAGAGCAGGGATGCCAGCATGCACAGATGGATTTTTGTGTCTTGGGGATTTTAGCAAGCACTGAGTTCTGTGTTAAGTGAAGCTGGATGGCTTCAGCTACCTGAAGTAAACAGTAGGCAGGCCAGAGGCATTTTTAATCTCCTGAAACATATGAGATTAGGGATTTCATGTGTAGGGACAGGAAAACAACAGACATTTCTGGAGAGAGCAAGATGGAAACCTGAGCTTGCTTGTAAGAACTCCTGCCCTCCTGCCTGAATGGCAAATAACTGAGCTGTGATGTAGCCTATACTCAAGATTTCTGCCCCATAAAGCAATGTGCAACTTCTATTATAATTTATTTAATGGAACATCTTAATACTTTGTTGCTAGAGTGAAAAAAGTTTCAGGCATGGCTTCACATTTTTGTCACATTAGCAGTTTAAGAAACAAATACACCAACAGCAGAATGCATCAGAAAAATGAGCAGGGTAGGAGCAGGAGGAGGCTGGAATGCAGTAAGTTGTGCCTGTAACCTTTAAGCCTGCCCTGAGGAAAGGAAAAAGGGAAAAAATAGCTATTGGAAACAATGCTTCTGTTCTAAATGCAGCTTTTTAGGCATGTCATGATTACTCACACTGTTGTTCCAGTTCATTCAGTCTGGTCCTGAGTAGGATTTCAGAGGATTACCCTGCATATGTTCTGTTTTCAGGAGCATTGTATTCACTCTTTAAAAAAAATTAAATAAGCTATAAAGGATCTGTATGTGTGAATCAGTCAGAGCTCTGACTGTGATTTTGGTTCTGTTTCATGCATTTTAAGCATTTCTGCCTTTCTGTCTCCAGATTAATGAGAGCTGCAAAGCTGGTGGCTGTGGTGGAAATGATCTCAGTCTGTCTGAAGGAGTGGAGGTGAGGTTTTCTTTGATTTTCTTCAAAGTGGGGATTATGAGCAGAACAAGACTGATTTTTTTTCCTTTGTTCCTTCACAAAGTGCTTGCAATTTGTTGATGTATTTCTATCCCATCTTGGGGAAAGGAGGACAAAGGCATCACTGTCCAAAATCTTTTTGCAAATGTGAATGAGTGTGTACTTTTAAAGGGTAAAGGTTATGTAAGTGTTGATGAGGATGGTGTCAAATCAAGTGGGAAAAGATGATCTTGGAGCATCTCAAAGGACTTCATGGAAACACAGAAGACTACCCAGTGCTTATAGAAAATCCTCCATGGTAACACTGTTTGCAGGTAGGCTGGGAAAGAAAAGCCTTTCACTCTCCCTGGACATCTATTTTGAGTGCTACCTGAAAGAAAGAACATCTTGTCATATATTTTAGATTATTTAGACTATTTTCAAGAAACATCAGCCTGAACAAAACAGTAGTGCCATGTCCCAGATGAAATACTAAAAATTTAATTATTCTTAGCTTTTTTATTTGTCATGCAGTTCCCCATTAGTATCAAAACAGAAAGATCAAGCTCCACTTTGCCTACAGCATGGATTGTCTTCACTGCCTTGGGCAGTGAGCTTGCAAAGCTGCAGAGTAACTTATCATGTATCTTTTTCCTGTGGAAATAGTTTACTTCTCCATCTTCCCACTAAGTTCCTGAAAAGTTTGCTGTACAGCTTGAGCTTCTCTCCCATCACTGTAGTTGATATGCAACAATTTGGGCAGGAATTCTTTGCCTGTGTGTAAAAGTATTTCCTTTGGGTTATACATTTTAAAGAAAGTTCATGTGCTTTCTTGGAAAAATGAAGGGGGGAATGGAGAAGACAAAGCAGACAATTTAATCCTTGTTTTGGTTTGCTCTAGATTGTTCTATAAGGAGTGGAATTAATACTTCATTTGTTTTCCAATTATGTTTTTTTATGGCAGGTGGACAAGTCCTTAGATTTGGAAGATGTAGAAACAGAAGAGACATGCACTGGTAGGTTCCCCTCCCTTCATTTTCACTGTTGTCTGTCTTTGGATGCAAGTGTATGGATGTTGTTTAAAGAACAGTTTCTCCTCTAAGATGTGCTTCTTCTGCTAGAAAATTCCCCAAATCGTTCAAATTGCCCAAATTAAAGTACCCATTTCCTCACTCTAAGTACTACTGAGATAACAAATTATAAGGAATATTTATTATACTGTCCCCTGGTAAGTGGTTATTTTATTCAAGATTTATCAAGAGTTGCAGAACAATTATTGTTAGCAGTGTTTCTACACTCTTCTACACTTCTATTTTGTGTTGAAATTATTTTGATTACAAAAGTTCCTCCACAAGGTAACGTGGGTGCTAAGAGAGAGCTCCAGAAAGTGAAAATATTCAATGAAAATGTTGTCCCTACCTATTAATTTCATCTTGAGCTTAAAATAAATGAGACTAATTTTGAATTCACAGTGAACTTCTTTGAGAATTCCAATTATGAGGATTTTGAGTTGTGTTGAACTGCTTCATATATCTAGAATAATTTAAACTCACTTCTAAAAAGCAAATAGAAACCTAATGTCCATAGTTACTGATCTATCATATGTGCTTTTCTGGGCTTTACTGCTGTCACAACTGATGACCTTTTAGTGATTAAATTCATTTTCCTCATCTATATCTGTGCCTGCACAAAGAATCCAAACCACAAAGATGAAGGGATTTGCCTAAGGTCACTGAAAGAAGCTGTTAGAGAGCAGGACTTGGTTCCTTGGTTATTGCCATTTGATTAATCTGTCTAATCTGTGAAAGATTTGATTAGTCTTTCCTTTCTCTATGTGCAGAATTCCCTTGAAGTCAGAGGGCTTAGAGACTTCCAGGTGATTAATATTTGGAGCTTGGCTGTAACTCATGAGAAAATAATAGAAATATGGCAGGTTTACAGCAAATATTCATCCTCCAACCTGGGCCTTTCAGAAAGGAGGGAGTAAGATAGCAGTCCTCTAAGATACAGACATCAAAGATTTCAAGTGCTGTGTTCATATGTGCTCATCTTGCCCTTCATGGGACATTGTTCTTTGTTTATGTCTTAAATTCTGCTAATATCTGTTAGAAAAGCCTGGGGCTTACTGGTGGAAGCATAACCTCACATTTCATTTGTACCATAAGGGAATGGGAATTGTCTGTGTCTAGTTCATGGAAGTATTGTAAGATATCTCTAGTTGAAAACAGGCTGATTGGATGGTGAGAAATAAGCCCAGCACTAAAATACCAAGCAGGGCAGTGAGGAAAGAAGAGTTCTGCCAGAGTTTCATGCCAAACCTTGCCTCCCTCCAGGCTCTCCAGTCATTTCTGTGTATTTGTGTGTGTGCAAGAGTCACTGTTCATCACACACCTTTAGAAACCCCTGCTAAAACAGGCTGCATTTGAACAAGATGAGAATTCCAAAAATGATCAGCTGCTTGTGCTGTCTGAATGGCACTTGATGCAAGCCACACTGGGAAAACCTTTCAGCTAGTGCTTTTATTGGTGATTATAAAGATAATAAACACAACATTCCTCTGCCTCAGTGCCCAACAAAGCTGTAGCAGCTCCTAAGCCATCACCAGTGCTCAGCAACAGCATTAAGCATTTAGATTGTGTCTCATAACACTAGAATATAGCCTAGCCAGAAGCTAGTTATCCTTTCTAAACTCTGTAAGGAAGGTGAACAGCATCCAAATTTATACCTGGGAAACCCACAGCCTGGGTCTTGCCCTGGGCTTCTTAGGGGGAGATGGTTGGAGGGTTCAGAGAAAGAATTTGAGTGCAGAAAATAGGATTTAGAGTTTGATAGTTGTCAAAATTCACCTGATAGGCTTCATAATAAGAGAGGGAAAATCTCACTCTGTTAGAAACCACAGGAAGAAAATGGAAATTAAAATCTAAAATGCTGTCACCTCTATTGCTTCTAATAAAGTACTATAAAATAATATCCCTATTTACCACCTTAATAAAGGGCTAGTCGTGCATTCCAGTGAGTTGATAAGTGAAGCAGTGTGACACAAATTTGAAAGACATTCTTTTGCTGGCCTTTTTAAATCCTGCCACCTGCCTGTCAGAACAAATGAGAGATTTAAGACTTCATCCTGGCAAAAGAAGCTAAGACACCCAGTAAAAAAAAAAAATCCCCTGCCTTGCTAATATAATTACAACAAGCTTTTATCTCTGCTCCTTACTGGCAACAGTTCAGGATCTCCATACTTCATTTAGCTTTAAAGGGCAGATCAGTTAGCTGAGTTAGCAACTGTGCATTAATACAATAAATATTCACACTGAAGGGGACGTGGCTGAAGAGCTGACACTGTGAAAAGCATGACAGAAGGTGGGTGTTAAAGGATCCCATCTAAACCACTGCTTTTTTGGGAGATGTCCTGGGAGAATCATTCTAGTGGGTATTTTGCTTTCTTTTTTTCATCCTCAACTTATTTTCCAGTGTCTTTTAAGGGGTGAATGAATAAAATTCACCAAGTTTTTCACAAAATTCACAAAAAAACCAAAAGCAGCCCATAGATCTGGCCAGTGTCCAAATTCATTGTGGCTGTTTTCATGGAACAGCCTTGAAACCAGGGCAGTGCTTTGCTTTGTGGGGCTTTGGCACAGTAAACCATGCTTGGCAAAGTCAAACTGCTGCCTAAAACCATGGCTTTGGTGCATGGTGGACTGTTTTAATTACTCTTTCTCACTGAATTTCATCTGGAAGTAGCTTAAGGCCACAATAGAGCTGATCAGGCTTCCTCCAGGGATGGATGGGGAATGCTTAGTCCCTATGTCTTGGCAACAGAATTCCTTCCCAGGACTGGTGACAAATCACTTGCTGCAGGACTCAGAAGATAGATAGGTAATAATAAAGTACAAAATATGGATAAAAATCATGCCCAGAGACCTTGAGTGTGCTATTTTTTAAATACCAGAGAAAATTCAAATAAGAGTAATTAATTGTCTGGGTGCATAGGGAAGGATATCAGAATCACCCTCATCTGGCCTGGAGCCCTGAGGTGCATAAACTTGTCTTTTCAAAGTCCCAGTTCTCTGTAACCACACAGAATTTGAGGAGAACCCAAGTGAAGCTGAGGCCAAGCATAACTATTGGATTATTTAAGCAATTCTTTAGGAAGATTGCAGCAATATGTGTTTTTTTTTTCTATGCCTTTCCATTTATTTTTTGAGTCTATATTTACATCCAGAAAAATTAGGTTGAGGAAGAGGATTCAGAGTTAAGTTTTGTGGATTTTTCCAAATATGAGGCTCCTCCCAACTGGTGAATCTTTTTTCCTCCAGTCTCTGCAATGTGTCTTGAGATCATTTCACACTATTATTTAAACAATTCTTTAGGAAGATTGCAGCAATGTGTTTTTTTTCTATGCTTTTCCATTTATATTTTGAGTCTATATTTACATCCAGAAAAATTAGGTTGAGGAAGAGGATTCAGAGTTAAGTTTTGTGGATTTTTCCAAATATGAGGCTCCTCCCAACTGGTGAATCTTTTTTCCTCCAGTCTCTGCAATGTGTCTTGAGATCATTTCACACTAGGCAGCATTTTGGGGGCTAACAGCCTGAAACCTGAGAATCAGGGGAGCCAGCAAAATTCAGCTTTTAAGCATTTTTCTTTATCCCTCCCTCCTCAGCTCCCCATGAACAGCAGTTTTGTGCCTGTAGCTGGGCATCATTTGGCTCCAGTAAAGCTCAAGACAAGATTGAGCTTCTTCATGCTTGGAAGTTCAAATCAGGTTTGTGCCAATAGATTCTTTTTTTTTCCTCTACTGGTAATTCATGTCATTGGCACACAATGAGCACAAACCCCCAACTCAGCACCCTGCTGACAGATGTAGTAATGACTTTCTGACATTGCTCAGTGGGCAGATAGGCCCTCGTTGGAGTTCTCTGGACTTGAGGAAGCTCATTGGAGTTGTCATGTCATCCAGCAAGCTGCTTCTTCATGAGAGGTGCATTTCAAAGTCTCCTCTCAGATTTTTGGTGTCACTGTCTTCTCACTTATCTCTGTGTATGGTGCCGTTGGCAGCATGCAAGGCTTTCCTGTTGCTAATTAATCACCTCCACAGAGAACATAATTAGCAGCTTAATTAGGATCATCATCCACTAGTGCTGTAGCATCAGCCTAAACCAGCTGTGAGGTGCTGGCTAGAACTTCCACTAGCCTGCAGTTCCTCTGGGAGCTCCTGCTGAGGGGGAGGAGGACTGTCAAAACTCCCAAGTTTTTCTCTCAGAAGGAGTTTCTTGATGAAACATCATCAGGGAAAGCAGAATTTAGGGATTAGACTTTCCTGTGCTGTCAGGCAGCAAGGACAGGGAGATAAAGCTCATTTCTGGCATGTCTACTGGCAAACCAAGGTTGGTTACCACGTTCTTAAGGGGAGATTGAAGAGACTTGGAGACATTGGTTGCATTACTAACAAGCCTTAAAAGAGTGGGATTGATGTTTTGAGTATGACAAACACTTCTTGCTAAAAGCAAAAATAAGTTTCCTTCTGTTGTCCTGATTTTAAGGAGTTGTCTTTCTGAACCATTGCCAGGCTGTTGCATAACAGTGCTTCCTCCTCATCTTCTTGGCACACGTTGTTCTGTTGAGGTGAGGGGGAAGCTCTTAGTACAGAAATAATCAGTGTGTGTGTCAGGAGGTGATCCAAACCTCCTGATGTCCAGGCTTTCCTTCTTTCAGCAAAGGTACGTGTTTAAGGTACAAGTTTGAAACAGTAGGAGAAGTTGCCATGGCCTTTAAATGAGCATTCACATCTTCCTTCTCTCCTACAAATAGCTTTGACCTGAGTTATGAGAGGTGGAAACAAAGCAGTTGCAGAGCATGTGAAGACAGCATGTCTACCTGTTCTTTTCAGAAAGCTTTCTCATATAACATGCAGAGTGAGATCAGATGCTGTGCACATAAATGATTAGAGAGAGAAACAAGCAGCCAAGAGAATAGGGATGAAAACTGGAAACCACTCATACACAAATGATGAACCAAAAGATGAAAATCCAGGAGTGAGATACCCAAGGGAATGAATTCAGCTCTTTTTTTTTTAAAGAACATTCTACCTGAGGAGTCCAAAGCCCTGCTGGCTTTGAAGCAGTACACAACTCCCAGAAGAAAACTGCATGAGGAATTTCTCATGGATTTTTTATGAAGGCCTAGCTAGGAAATGATTATTTTCAAAAGTGGATTGACAGGAGAATGGAAGGTCTCTAACTCCATTAATGTGGCAGAAGTGTGCAGGTAGAGATAAATAGACACTTCTTCCTTATTGATTCCATTAACTAACATTTAAGCAATGCTTTGAAAAGTTATTTTAAGATCTCAAGAGGAAATCAAGCTACTAAAATGTTGTATAAAGCTGTAAAGAAACTGGTGTATCAGCCAGAAAGAAAATAATAGGTAGCTTTACATAATCCTGTGACTAAATAGTGAGACATATGGTCCCCTTAAGTTCCTTCCTAAAAACATTACTGAGAAAAGATGGACACATCTGTGCTGTAGCAGAGCTGAGATGGATTCATGTTAAATGGTATTTCTAAACCTGAGGCATATCCTTCTGAGCTGTCACAGGCAGCAAACCCACAGTTCCCAGCAGGAGTGTTTTGCTTAATGTCCTCTGTAAAGAAAAAAGAATTCAGAAAGTCTCTGTGTTTGTGAGCTGGGGACCCAACCCTGCCCCCGTGGAGATGTTTTGCTGTGTCCCAGACAGAGAAAAGTCCTCTCAAGTGCCTCATTTTTGGAAAGCTCAGGGAGGAACAAACCTCTGTGAAATATCCTTGGTCAAGGCAATCATCTGGCACTGTAGTGGAGGCACTTTAATACTTCTACCAGGTATTTTTACTTCATGTTTTGGGAGAGTGATGTTAAGATGCTTTGCAAAGATTCTTTGTGGCCTGTGTGCTGCAAAGTCCAGCAAAAGAGAATGGAATGAGACTACCCAGCTCATCAGTGGAAAGAGCAGGGTTCAGGCTGGTGTTTTATAGCTCCTACTGCAGGCACCTCTACTCAGGACCTTCCTTTGTTGTGAAAGGGATGAACTTAATCCCAGGTGTTCTCTGAGTTCAGAAGCATCTACAGTCCAGATTTTTAGTTCAGTGTCTTCAAGAAAGAAGAGCTACCTGGCTGTTTTCAACCAAGTTTGGTTTTTCCTTAAAATAGTGTATTTTATTAACTAGATTTTAGCTTAGGACTGCTTGGATCTGTTGTAAAGAGAGCTGCCTATCTTCTGTTTTATGCAGCAATAAGTCCAGCACTAAAAAGCTGACTACAAAGCTTCTGCGTGTGTCTTAGCACTGCAGGATTTTACACAGGATTTTGCTAATAAAGTTAACTATTTTTTTTATTCATCAGGGTCTTTAGTTCTCCCAGGACAGGTGGAAGAGACAGTGACTTATTGCACACCCTTTTTTGAGAAGCCTGTTCAACAGAAGTTGAGAACCTTGGCAGCTCCAGAGCCACCAGACAGCAAAGCCCAAGAGGTATGAGGTCAGATTTATTTATTCAAACACTTGAGGTTGGGCATCAGTTTTTTTTCTACCTATTTGCTTCTAATGTTATTTCCAGTGATCATTTTTCTACCTGTTTGCTTCTAATGTTATTTCCAGTGATCTCATGATCTTACAACATCCTGCAGTCCTCACTGGGCTGGATATAGAAACCATCTTCTCCCTGCAGTCCTCAGTGGGCTGGATATAGAAACCATCTTCTCCAACAAGGAGGTAGTGAATCATCTCCTTAATGTGACACTGAAAAGAAGAAAGGGGTTTAGAATCTATTGTGATCAATATGTTTGGATTTGTCCTCTTAGAAAGGAGTAGTAGCAAGATGCTGCTGAGGATCTGCCTTGTCTGGGTCTGGTCTGGAGGGGTTTTCATTGTGGAATCTGAGTCTTTTAATCAGACACAATCCAGATGAGCTTTAATTTAGAATTCCTATTTTTCCTCAGAATTTCAGTTCTTTTCTAACTGGAACAGAAGGCCTGGGTTGCTCAGGGCCTTATTTTAAGTCATTAAGCTTCCTATCCAAATAGTCAGTGTGAGCATTAACTTTTGGGGACGTTTCTATTACAGAGAATTTGTTCAACACTCTTTTTCCCCTGCGTGATCATTGTAATAGCAGCTGAAGTTAGCTTCTGGCTAAAATGGGCCAGTTTTGATAGTTTCATGTGTTTATTGATGTCCCACGAGGCCTAAATCAAGTTTATAAATGGTGTGTGACCGATGAAGGTTTGATGTTATAGCAGTGCATATGGTGCCTCCTTTCCTGAGCTCAGTTGTGTTTAGTTCTTTGCAATAAACTCTTTACTGTAAGGAACAAGTCTGCTTTGGGAAAAAGTAAATGTTCTAAAATGACCTTTCAGGCTTTAATACTCACTATTCTGTGAATAAAAATACTCTTTTTCCCTAAGGACTGACATCATTCAAGGGTTTTGCCTTGAGAAATATCCATTGGCACACACAAAAAAACACCCCTAGAATGAGGTTTTATAGTTTTCTCATTTGATAACTTCTGTATAAAACCAAAGGAGGAGGTTTGTAGCAGCCTGCAGTGTTCATAAAGGATTGAGTGTGACTCTTTAAACTCTAATTCATGAAAAATAGATGAAGATCCCACTGCATCTCAATGCAAAATTCATTTCCATTTGAGGAGAAGTTGAGTTATGAAAGAGAAACTTGAGGATTATTACGTTGGTGAAAGGTTGCTGCATTTTTCAGGAAGAAAGACTTTGGATTTTCACAACTGCCTGGTTGGTGCCAGGCTACTCAAGATGAAGGGAGCCTTTCCTCTAAATTACACACTGATTTTTGCCTTCCCAGAGATAATATAACTGGCCTGATTTTTAGAGCTGTCAAAACTGAACAGGTCTAGGTCTTCAGATTGTCATTGCCTTGAAGATTATGTCTTGCGTTGCTTATGGTTTAGAAAGAGACAAAGATTTTCCTTGGAGACATCCCTGCTTTGAAGTAACAATGTTCTCTGTCCAGCAGAACAAATCTGTTAGGGAAAGGCAACAGAATGTGGCTGCCTGGTTGGTTTTCACAGAAAATGGGAAGCCATTCCCTAGGAAAAATAAACAAGGTTAATAGTGCAGTGTAAGATGTCAGATGTCTTTGCTGTGGGCATGTTGGTGAAGGACTTGAGGGGAAGGTGTGTATCTCTGAATATATTGCTAGGGCAAGCTGAAAAACAGCAGCTCTGCTAAGAGCAAGTGTGCAACTTTGCCTCATTGTTAAAGAACAACTTGTCTCCCTGAAAATGGTTTTCTGTCAAAAGCTGTTGGGAAGGGGCTTAGTGAATGACACAGCAAATGATTTGTGTTGTCCACCAGGGTTGTTTCATCTTTCTTCCCTGCCTTAGACCTAAATATATTCCTGGATTTCAGTAGCAAGAGTGCAGCAGCATACATGACCTCCCACAGGCCCCTCAAATTGAAACAGCATTCCCTCCATGGCTGAAGCACATTATCATACAACATTTACTTCCCCTACCCAGTTATTTATCCTCTCCTTTGGTTCTACTTCATACTTCCTTTCATAAAAGACATCCCAGTTTCTTTAATTAACAGTATGCCTTAATGTCTGCTTCCTGGGGTCTCTATTTGTTCTTATTTCCCCCCTGCATACACAGGAGTGCAGCTGAATGTGCATTTTCCAGCCACTCCATGATGAACATGCATTCAGAGTGGGGTTCATCTCACCTAAGGAGTCTAAGTCCTCCTGTCCTCAAGAGATGTGCACCTCCAGAGAGCAGCTCATCCCACTTGCTGTAGGCATTGTCCTAAGATGTGTTCTATCTCCATCCACAGGCCTCAGCTGAGTTGTGTTTCTGCTAAGTGCTATGCATAAATGCAAGAAGAGCAAGGAAGAATTTAAAGACAGGACTAAGTTAAAGAAGTTGGAAGAGTTCCCTCTCCACAGAGATTGTCCAGAATGTTGAAACACAACTGGAAAATTGGTCAGGGTTTAATGACTCCCAATCCAGTGCCCCAAGCTCAAGGCAATTTTTTCTTTCCCAAGTATCCCAGTATATATCAGGCTTATATGAAATACTAGCACACAAGGTTTTCCCTTGAGTACACAGTGAAATCATTGGTGAGTGTATGAGCATCCTTTACATCATTTGAACAAGTGAATCACAGAGTTATAATGGCACAGAAATCAAGGTTTTAGAAGGACAGAGACAAGCTCTTCAGTTCACTGCAACTCCACACAGATTAATGAGAAGAGCTGAGTTGCCAATTTATTAATAGACTTTTGAAAGTCTCAACTTTAAGGTATTTTATTTACAACATTACTTTGTGTAACAGCCTCTAGCAAAATCCTTCAATTATTAATATGAATATTACATTCTTTTCCCCTTTAATTTGGACATGCAGGAACTGTAAATGAAAATGATTTTTTTTTCTTCAGAGAGTGAATCACAGGAGCAATTTTAAGCAAACTGGCAGTTTTCTAATAGAGCAAAATTCTATTCCCAGAGAGCTCTCAAAAAGTTTTCAATTAGATGTTGAATTAGACACCTGAAATTCACATATTTCAGCTCCTTAGGCAAAAATAACAAGATAATAACTTGATCAGCTCAGAGGACTCGACGTTCTATTGCAGGATGTCTTCCTTTTGAAGCAGATCAAAATTGCAGCTGGAGGTATGAGAATTTCAGGTTTGGTTTTGTGGAATCCTTGCTGTAATTGAAACTTTCCTTATTTACCTACAAACGTGGTAACAAATTTCATTACAACCAAACTAGCTGAAAAAGTTTTGCATCTTCCATCATATTTTATTTTTTTAGAAGAGTTTTGGATTTCTGCAAAGGAGAGGCAGGTAGTAATGAACCCTGGTTGCTGCGAAACTTTCTTTAGCTTATTTACCTACAAACCTGGTAACAAATTTCATTACAACCAAACTAGCTGAAAAAGTTTTGCATCTTCCATCATATTTTATTTTTTTTAGAAGAGTTTTGGATTTCTGCAAAGGAGAGGCAGGTAGTAATGAACCCTGGTTGCTGCTACCACTTGTTACCCAGTTTCTGGTACTCCTACTGGCATGGAATTTGAGGAGGCTTTGCCTGGGGAGGAGATGAAGGAGCCTGGATGACCTTAGCCTTGATGAGAGAGAGCTTGTGTGCAGGCTTTGTGGCATGTTAACTTTTCCTGAATGTGCTATTTAGAAAGGCTGATGACAGTTTGCCTGGGATAGTCTGTGGACATAAGCAAGATAATCTCTCATACAGAATGAATACAGTTTTCTTCACCAGCTCTTACCTCCAGAGATGGTTTATTCTCATTTATAAATGCCCATGTTGTACAGGTCTGCATCTAGGGTCATGTTTATGCTCCAGCATCTTTTGAAGGCAATGTAAGCCAGGTCCCTGGGACATTAAGCAGTCTAGATGATTAATAAAATGATAGAAAACCAGAAAAAATACTTCCTGATCAGGCAGGCAAGATTACAGTGTACCAATAAAGGATGTAGATACCTGCAGGATGCTCCCTGACATGTCTTGTCAGCCAGCAGAGCAGAGAGGAATCCAGCTACCACTCCTCTTACTCACTCTATGGCATGAACTGTATCCAGGCAGCTCCTTACAAAATGTTAGCAGAAATGGTGAGGGACACTGTGTCTTCTAAACTGAGCAGTGACCATAAGCTGCTGTTATTCCTCTGTTGCAGCAAAACAAATAGGTATGGCAGTGGCCACTGGCTTCACTGAGCATTCCTCAGAGGTGGAAGAAAACAAGCATGTGTTTAACTGTTGTTCTGATTTGGTACTGAGGTACTTAAATCTTTGAAACACACAGCCCTTCAGCTTGTTTGTCAGGGTTGAAATTTCTAGATTTTTTATTAACTTCCCCAAGAATAGGGAGAGTTCCTGTGTCATTTAGGCAGGGAGGATGTGTCTCCTGTGTAGCTCTGGAATGAATTTTATGGAACTGCTTACCAGATAACTTTTGTGTCATGCCCCCTGCAGTTTCTTATCAGCATGCAGCCTGCCATAGTTAGTTAGTTCCATTATTTTATAGGCAGAGTGTTTATTCTAAGATATTTCAACAAGAAGCAATAGAGACATGCTGTATGTTATGTCAGCAAAGCAAACATTGGCAAATGCAGTAAGACTCTCCATTCATCATGGGGAAAAAAATCCAAACCAGCCAATTGTGCATAGCTTTGAGATGGTGAAAAGAAATTATTAGAGGCTGAATATTGATTGTGTCATTCTGCTCATTCCAGGCATTTCCTTGGCTGAGGCTGTGCTGGGGAACATGTCAGATTAGTATCAGAGGCATGTACACTGAAGCTTTATGTGCTACTAGCCCAAATTTTAAGGATATGGAATCTGTCTTTGTAATTTAACATAGCTGTACAGAAGTTGTCCTTATCCCCACAGCCCTGCTGCTACAAGTGGCAGGGATGTAATAGATGTGTGCAAAGGGAGGGTTTGGGTTTCCTTGCCTTGAGCAAAATTAGCTAATGATATTAATTCAGATACAGTACAGTACAAATGGGGCACGTTAAATGGCTTAAATTAGGTCAAATTGAATAATTGAATTTATTCTTTTACTTAAAAAGAGCTTAATCAGCTGAGAGTGCTAGAGTCAGAAAAAAAAAATGGCTTAATTAAATATTAATTAGAAGTTTATATTTTGAGCTCCCTTATCACTCGCAGCAATGTTATTTATGTATCTTTCTTTCCTCCTTACAGCTACTAGGAGATGATGTTCAACCCTTCTCACTTGATGAAGAATTTGATTATGACAACGTGGCACTGACCCCAAAGTTCTCTGAAGCTGAGCTGAAGGCCATTTTAGAATTCTCTGAAGAGAAGAAAACGGGGATAGATGTCAAGTCAGCAGGAGCTGGAGACTGAGTCCAAGGCACTGTGTTCAGTGCTGTTGAAATGACATTTTTAGGGGGTAAATCTAAACCTCCACTGTACCCTCATTTAGTGTTTTATACAGTAAATGACATCTTCAAGATTGTTTTTGGTTGTTCTACCAAGGTGCCTTGAAGCCTGAGGTTGCCTTTACCCTGAGCTTCCTCCTACTCCTCCTGCAAACAGAGAATAAGGAAGGTGGTGCTCACCCAGGGCTGCTTGTATAGTAGCCCTTCAGCCACAGGGGAGGTATTTCCATCCTTTTTATAGTGTCTTCACTCAAATTCCCTTTTGTAGAAAAAGCACATGAGGTATTTGGAGTCTTTTTTTTTCAGTTTCCTCTAGAAGCTTTGATTTTGAGGCTTGATTTAACATCACAGCACTGAGTTGTATTTGTGGTTGTTTGCTGGTATAACTGCATGAACATGAAGTTTATTGACCAATATTTTGTCCTTGGCCTATCTCCATTATTTCTGAAGTGGGTGATTAACATGATGAATATGGGAAAAGTGCCTAAGCAGACAAGTTTGTGGTAAACAAACCACAAGTTGTTTAAAGGCTCTGGATGAAATCCCTGTGGCTGATGGGCTGCTCCACTGTCAGCAATTTATAAAAGTCAAAAGAAAGGTGCTTTGATGCTCCAAAGGAGATTTTCTGGATCAGTAATTTTTGTTAGACCATAACCACACACCACTGAAATCTGAATAACATTTGTTTTGAGGGATGGTGTTTACCTCTATTACAGGGATAGAATTTCAGAATGAGGTAAACAAAAAAGAAAGTGATCTGAGACAAGATTTTTAAGGAGAATGATATAAAACTACAAGTATGTTGTATGGAATAACTGCTGGTGGAAGGTAAAAAGATTTATTTATTCATTGGTAACATCTATGCTCAGAAGGATGCCTGTGCTATGGTTAAAACTTTTTGTTTTAATGCAATTGTCTGTAGAACAGATTCTGTTGTTTGGGAACCTTTTTTTTTATATTAAAAATGTGAATTCATATGAATTCAAAGCTTTTTGTTGAACTCAAAATATTTTGAATTAAGTGCTTCAGATCCAACAGAACTTTCCCAGGGAAATATTCAGCTAAAAATTCCTAAGTAGATATAATGATTAGTTCATCTTCTTCTGTGAGACACAGCTAATGTGTATGAATGGGAAGGATAAGAAGTTAGTTAAGGAAGAGCTCCCTGAGCAGATCTGGGAGGAAGAATTTGATAACCACTGTGCAAGATCAGCTCTTTAAAAGCCTCAAGAGAAAAATAGGGGAGACAACCTCATTAACAAACATATAGCAAAGATAAAATAAGGAACCTTCTGTCCAAGAGACTTCTGTGTAGGGTTTGCTGGCCTTGGCCAGACAAAGAGTCAGCCCCAAAGAAAGATGAACTTCTGTGGGTTTGTGGAATGATGAATTTGACACATTTTTGGGTGGTTGCTTAGAGAGGTATGAGAGACCCAAACTATAGATCAGTCCTATGGGCAGCAGAGTCAGTGAGAAAAGTTGTCCATGGTGAACATCAGGGCAAATCAGCTCTGGAATCTCTGAGAACATTTTCTATTCATTTCATTATCAAATTTCCCCTGTACATGAGGGATCTATCCAGCCATTCAGCTCCTTCTCTCTGAGGCACATCATCCTCTTACCAAATGTTCAGAGTGCCTGTTATGCTCCATAAGTGTCATTCAGATTAGTCATTATATGGTTCCATTTGATATAAAGAAACACTTTGCTGCAGAATACCCAACAAAATTGGAACTCTTTAGTGACATCCATCTTAGGCAGAGAAATGGGGATAATTCCCTTACATTTACACCACTCAGGAGTTAGATTTTTGCTCTTTGTTACCAGGGATGAATATGACAGTGGAGATTTGGCAACGTGGGCAACATTCTCTGAACATGACATTTTGTTGGCCTGCCCCTGGGCTTGTTTTTGGCTTGTACCTCTCATGTCATTATCCTTGACACAGGAGGCATATTTTTCCTCTTCTCCATTACCAGGTTGTCATTTTTAAGAACATACTTTATGTGCATGTTAAATTTTATACATGTAAATGGAGTTAGTTACCTGGAATTGTTTCAGTGTTACTGACATGCTTTGAAGTCTGAATAATATTTATCTTTTCCTCTTGTAGCTTCTGTTCTCTTCAATATTTTCAGCAAGGGGTGGTGAGGGACATTCTTCTTTTCTATTTATGGTCTTTTCTAAATATTTTTCCTGCTTTCCTAAAGATTTAAAGGCAAAACTCTTGGAATCAACTTGGAGGCTGCTGCTGCAGGGAATATGATTTTCTCCCCACTGACATTTACCACACTGAGAAGGATTTTGAACTGCAAACTATCTGATGTTGGGTGAAGCTGTTGGAAGTGAAGACTGTGAGATGCAGCTCTCTAATCCCTTGGCACTCAAGGCTTCCTTGATGCCTAAAGTGCAGTAGAGATGTGCATCTCTATCAGTCAGTGAGTTTATCTGTGTCCAACTTGTTGCTTACTGGGGTGTTGCCAGAAGGATTCTGACTTTCTTTCCACAAGTCTTGAGGTTTCCTGAGTTATGGGAGGAAATCTGTTGTCCACTGGGTGTTGTTAATGCTCAGAGTTCCTCCTTGTGGGTGTAAAAGTAGCTCTTTGCTGAGATAATGGTTGGGGAAGAGTAAGAGCTCAAGACATGGAAAGTGATGCAGACAAATCTGCCTGACTCAGACATTGTGGTTCTAAATATATTTCTATTAAGGCACAAAGGTATCATTATGTGCACTTGTATCCACACAGTGCCACTGAAAGGAAATAATGTTAGTATGGAGAGTACTCACCAGATAATTCAGGACCTTTTGAAGAAGATGGCATGGAAACAAATCCCTGCTCTTCTGCAGGAGACCCTTTGATCCTCTGGCCTTGATTTTCTGCTGCTATAAACTGGCAGGACTCCACTGAGGCCATTTGTTTCACACAGAGCAGCCAGGACCCTGGTATTTACAGTCTCAGCTGAAAGGACACAGAGCCAAATCAGCTGCTGATTTAACTTTACTGAACAGATAGCTGTGAATATGACCCATTATCATGATGGGCAAATATTTAAGTGTTTACCAGTGCAAATTAAATGTAAAAAACCATACATTTAACAGTTCAATTAGTAGTTTTATGTAGGTCAGTTTGGAGTTTATGTAGTGGGGTGTGCTTAGAAGGTTGCTTTTTTGCTTTAACAGAAACACCACATGCATTTTCAAGTCCTGTTCAAATCATGAAGCTTGATTATATAAATAATTACTGAAGATCCCCACCTCCTTTCAAGTTTTTTAATTTTTTTCTCTGCATCTTGGCAACGATTGGAAGTGAATTTTGCTGTATCTTGAAATTGTTTTAAAAAGACCTGACATCCTTTGTAAAAAAAATTATCTTCTTACAAGGTGGCCTCTCTCAGGGATGCAGCAATAAAAATAGGACCAAATTCCTGCTTTTTCAGCAACTTTGGGTGCATCATGGTGTGGCTAAATAGCCACAGGGTCATGCCAGAGATTGATTAGACCCTTGTCTACTTGCTGGGGCAGTGCTGAACAGGCAACTTCTCTGCTTCATGATCTGCATTTCAGCCTTGGCATGTGAAGTGAGGAAACCCGTGGTGAGGAGCCTTGGTGGCCCCAGGAGGTGAGTGCCAGCGACAGCAGAGGGCATTCCCACCTTCATGGGCTTTCTTGTGGGGAGGTGGCAGTTAGCACAGGTGGGGCTGAGGTGCCACCTGTCTCCTGGGCTCCTCTCAGAGGGATGAACCTTCTCTCTCTGCACCACGGCTGCCTTGGCCAGGTTCTCAGGCACATTCACTTCTCCCAGGTGCTGAATATCTGCCCATCCCTTGGGAAAACAAGACAGAGAGTTTTCTCGATATTATTAGGCTGTAGAACATCTCAGAAGATGCTGAGTTTGGTAAATGGGTGATTTCTGGCTGTTGGAGGTGACACCTCGGGGTTTGCTGGCAAGCCAACATTGCAGGTGGATGAGCTGTGAAGTGCTGCAGAGTTAGACTGGAGATGGTTTCAGTGCTTGTTGATGACACGTTTGCAAGAAGAAAAACAATTGTTAAAAGGTACTTGGAGCAAATCTTTATAGACAGGCTACTTCATTTGCAATTGCAGTGCCCCAAAGTTCAAATGGAAATCAATTTTAATGCGTTATGGAAAGGCAGAAATGTTTCTCATTTACAGCACTTCCAAAAAGGACAAATAAAATCCCCCTGATTAACAATCTATAATTTTATGGGCTCTGTGGTGTTTTGTTTAGGACATCTAGCCACATAAACGTTTCAAAATAATAAAGATAGATCTGAATAAAACCCCTAAATCTGACTTCACGCTGAATTTCAGAGGTAGAAACTCTCTCTATTCAAAGCCCTCTTGGATCTTAACATTCCCAAACTTGGGAGAAGCAGAAGCAGATACTCTAAAGATCTCTGACCAAACATTTCTTAAGCAACTTCTTAGTACCCATGTGGACTGCAAACCCCAAAGCAGCCCATAGAAGAAGAACCTGTGGAAGGTAATGATTGGAGTAACTGCTGTCTATAGGAAGATAAGGGATAAAAGGACTCTAAAGACAGCAGAATGTGTGGACTACAAACCCCAAAGCAGCCCATAGAGAACCTGTGGAAGGTAATGATTGGAGGAACTGCTGTCTATAGGAAGATAATGGATAAAAGGACTCTAAAGACAGCAGA